CGCCTTTAGAGCGAAAAGGGTGCGGCTTATACACCTGAAAGTAGGGTACTTCGCTGAAAATTTTCCGGAGAGGTGTCGGTGAGTCAAGGCAAAAATGTCTTTGGAATTTACGTTTCTCTCCTGCATCGTGCAACCCGTGCATCCGAGATATACCAAATTCTAGGTTGCTGTACCGCCCAGTGCTTGAGTTTTGATGTAAACGTTGCAGTTTTCTTGAGTTTCTTTCAGAAAAATGAGAAACCTGCGAGATAAGAGGTGTTCGTAAATTCATGAACCGCACACTTTATATCGCCGATATGCTGCGCCTATTAGGGCAACTGACTGTGACTATAACGTGTGATTGGTTTGTGGCAAACCAGGAGCTTGTCAGGATATGATTTCCTCTACCCAGACGTAGCCAAAAAACAAGCATTTACTTTGACGTACGGTTCCGTCCATTTTGTCTGAAACAAGGGGAAGATACCAAACAGACACGAAAACAGGGAAGTTTGAGAGCCTTGTGAAGAAGAGAATGGAACCAGGCAGCATCCGGATACATGGCAAGCCTGATCTGAGAGGGTTGTAACACTAAAGACTTTACCCCAACTCAGAAAAGCTTTGCCAAGTTGCTCTCATGTCAATTATCGGCACAAGCCTGTTCATAGCAACTGTACGAGGCAACTTCGAATGTTTTAGTGTTGAATTACTCAAGGCTTGAAGCGTTCAAAAGAAAAGGCGGATGGATTTAGACAGGACATTTAATTCAATTTTTGAAGTGATATGAAGCATATTCTTTGTAAAGAATATCACTTGGCTAAAGAGGATGATCGACTTTCTTCTAGAACAAAATTGAGCGTTTGAACACAAAGCTTCCAGGAGTAGTAGAAAAAAATTCGAAATCGTACTCAGACATTGACCGGAAGTTCTGCGGGACATTCAGGAGTCTCGCAGCTTCGTGGAAAGTGCTGCGAAAATTTTCTGTTATTTGTCCGGTGTCGTGCAGAGACGTTATTTGACAATCAAGAAAATCCAAAAATTTTGCGTACTACTACGGCCTCTCTCATGAGGATACAGTAGGTTTACGGTCACAGCAAAAGATTGAAAATTTGCGAGGACCTGTGTAGCTGATCTGGTAGACTGTTCACAATGTATTGTTCACATCATTTATTTTAGAGGTTCGCTGAGCCAATGACAATTTTTTTTTCTTTTCTTTTTCTTTTCTTTTTTTTTGGTCTTTTTTCTTCAAGCTCCTCGATCGCGGCATTTCTTCCATCGTTCTAATCCACTACCACCACCCTCCAGCTCTCTCTCCCCTCCCAGTCCCCCGCTAGTGCAAACCGGCTAGAACATTCTGTAAATTCACTTGTGCTTGCTCTTGGGGATTGTACTAGTATTAACAGCAACGCGTTGCCTGCATTTAAGATCCTATATAAAGTTGAAAGTGTGTTTGTCTTTATGTATGTCTGTCCGTATGTCCGTACGTAAGTTTCGAATAGAAAATCCATTTCTGAGTCGATCCGGACCAAACTTTGCACACACTTCGTGGCGGGGCGATGTCGTAGGATATTTTTTGTAATCGATCAATATCGATTCTATCGATTTTTCAGAGTTGGCGTAAAGGGTAAGTGACCATGCTTATAACGAATATATTACTGACAGGACCGGGCGGAGCGGGGTTTGCCAGCTAGTATGCAATGCTTCACAATCCAAACAAATCCCCCTCACAACCAGTTATATGAACAATACTCAAGCAAAGTGTGGGGTACTGCTGTTTACGGACTCGTCATGATTGGCGGCTGGAACGGAAGGCTCCTTGCCACTATTCCCATTTTGATGGTTTGATACTGGCTGCTCGACAGCGTTCGCATCTGCTTCGCAAACGATTCCTTTAACAATATTTCTGCCTTCCAGTAACATATCATCCCACAGGCTTAAGACTTCGTAGGCCTCCTGTTAGAAAGGACAATCAGTTCGAGTCAACTCAAGCAACACTCACCGTATGAAGTCTATGGAGTTCTTCTGGTGAGTCATTAAACGACATGAATAGGACCAATAAGCTGTTTGATATGTCAGCTTCGGGGACGTCACCTGTTGTTACAGCCTTTCGGAGTATGCGTTCTGCTGCACCTGGAAATACGCTGTTTAAAAGCAATAACGTCACAAATAATATTGCGATGATGTTAAAACCGAGATGCCGGAAAGCTTCCTTTTTCTGCTCTTCGCTCACTTCTTCCTGGAACAAAAGTTTCATTGAAAGACGCATTTTTGCCAGGAAAAACTGACTTGCTTGATATTCTGTTCTAAGTTATCCCTGCTGAAGAGAGTATGGAGATAAAAAGCTGCATAGATCTGAAGGATGTAGGCCACTCTGAACTTGACAATATCCTGTAAAATACCAGCTAAAGTGTACTAGTTCAGTTTTCTTGACTCTTTTCTTTTCTGTTTCAGATAATCACTCATTAGGCACGCGCTATACTTGATCCGCTTGATCCGCGTCATCCACTTCGCTACTGGTCAAATCAGTGAGGTGACCAATAGCGAAGCGGATGTTTCACTTGATCCGCTTG